CTGTAATCCATCAGATGCTTCCAGTCGGGACGTGTCATTTAGGATTCACGAATTATATCCATTTGCACGTGTGATTAAATAAGAATGTATGATTCAATGTGTATGTTTAAATCACCTCAAAACATTTGGGTCCTCAGGTTTTAAAGTTATTGAACACCTTTTTTGTTATGAGTAGTTGCAGATGTGTGCCTAACTAGGTAACCTGTGGTTCTGTAAGGCACTTCAGCGTTAGAAATTCTGACTTTGAGTCACTCAACATGAACCATCCGAAATAGATCGAGTTTTATCGGATGAATCCTGTTGCTGTTTGACTGGAAGTAGAATATATCTTGTGGAGAGTTTTAGAGGTGTTTCTTGTAACATGAAATATATTTTTTCTTCTCTTGTAAATGATTTGTACATGATTGACTTTTTTCTGGTTTTCCCCTTCCTTTTTGTCTACGGTGTATTTTTTTTCTTAGAGATCTCTTGCATATGCAAAAAGTTTCCATAGCATTTCTAAGTTTCGTCGACCCTAATTTTGCTTGTTTGTTGACTGCAGTACTTGTTGAGTTGCAACCTACTCCCTGCTTTTCATAATACTCCCTTCGTTCCTAAATATTTGTCTTTTTAGAGAGTTCAAATGGACTACCACATACGGATGTATATAGACATATTTTTTAGTGTAGATCCACTCATTTTGCTCCGTATGTAGTCACTTGTTGAAATCTCTAGAAAGACAAATTATTTTTTTGAAACAAGGAAAGACAAATATTTAGAAACGGAGGAAGTATAATTTTTGTGGTTTTAGTTTAACTTATTTATTATGGAACGGAGGGAGTAGTATTATATATATTTGTCCTCTTAGGCCGCACTTGGATTATCATATTTCCCTCGGATATACTTGTAAAAATTACAGGCCCCTAGACGTATGTATTGTTTCCGGCCGGAAATCAGCCTAATCCCGTAAGATACACTTGTAGAATTGATACACCTGTATTACAATACACTCAATCCAAGCACGGCCTTAAGGTTTATAAGGTCTGGAAATAGGCCAAACCATTCCAGATCGTTCCTACAAAATGATCGATGCAACCCAAGAAACCAAGAGCCCGTATTTCTGTTCTAGATACTTCAGTTTGAACGACAATTGATATGGATCAGAAGGAGTAGAAGACAGTAACAGCAGCAGCAGCAACACAAAAACAGTCTGTAGCCTCGGTTGCGTACCAGAGCAACAAAATTCTGCACAGTTTGCTATACATACATACATACATGCACATGAGTAGGCCAGCAAGCCGACGGCGCGTGAGCCGGTGAGGGTGTGGCTAGTTGGTGTGGCAGTCGTAGCAGGTGTGGTTGCGGCCGAGTTCGGTGAACTTGTCGTAGCCGTGGCGGAAGACGCCCATCCCGAAGAGGACGCCGACGAGGAGCGCGATGCACAGCAACACCAGCAGGCAGCACCCCACTCTCTCCTTGCTGTTCAACTTGAAGCACATCCTTCCTGCCTGCCTGCCCTCCTCTCTTTTCTTCCCCTATATAAACCTTGATCTCTCTCTCTCTCTAGGCAAGCGACGGTGCTGCGGCGTGAGGGTTTTGGAACGTGCAGGCAGGCAGGCTGGAGCAGCGCGGGCACGCCCTTTTATCAGAGAAAATTTTAACCCGGCGGCTACACTTCGCTCGAAAAGAGAGAGCAAAACTGATGGAGCTGGACAACTATGTAACCACTCCAACGAGCGCCCTTCTTTCTGGCTTCAACGGTGGTGTGCAGGGCATCGCTTGCCAGGGAAGCTAGACTGTGTGGAACGGTCGGGTGATAGGAAATCTCCTGGTTGCCTTTCCGCCATGCCAGGAATCTCGAACTTTTTTTTTAATCACCGGGGGAGGAGTCCCTTCACCTGAATATATTGCTCAAAATGGTCATAATGCCAGGAGAGTGATCAAAAAAACCGGATCAAAAACCTTAACAAATTGACCCCGTTTATAAGGAGGAATCTCGATCCTTGTGGCCTAGCCCAAGACACATGTCTATGTCTAAAGAGCATCTCCAGTCGTTCGGCCCCCAGGACGCCAAAAAAGCGCCGCCTGGGACCGAACCGGCGTTAATTTCGGCGTGGGGGCAAACATGTTCCCAGTCGCCGCCCCAGGCCGGCCACAAATCGGCACAAACACGACACAAACTCGGCGATTTCATTCAAATTTGTACAAAAAAACAAAAAACATGATTTAAAAACAACTGTGCCTAGCCCTACTATGCCGTTGTCGCCACCCGCCTTCTACATGCCGAGGAGACTGTAGAATCGGGTGTAGTCGTCGCCGCCCTGCGTCTCGCCTGCGCCGCCGCCGTCCCTGCTGCACCCCTGACCAGGGTCGCCGACGCGCGGGGGATGGGACGGCCCGAGCGTGTCCTTGTCATCGCTGTCGAGGACGACGATGCCGCCCTCGTCGCGTCCGCGGCGCCGAGCTTTGATCTCCTCGTAGGCCCGACGCTGGCGCTCCACCTGCTCGCGGACGTAGTCCGCCTTCAACCACTTGAGGGCGGTCTCGTCGGCAGCGGCCATCTCCTCGTGCTCCTTCTTCATGGGGAGCAACCCCGGCTCGGTCTTCGGCTGGACGAGGCGGAGGGGATGAGGGGAAGGGCGGCCGCCCTCTCTAATGACGAGGGCGCCGATGCGGGTGCGGCGACCAAGCGGCGTCTCCTGTGGCTCCGGCTTGACCGGGCGAAGCGCCGACGACCCGGAGGAAAGCAAACCGGAGTCCGACGACAAGGAGGTCGCCGTCTCCATTCTCCGCGGCGGCCAAGAACTACCGCGGCGGCGAGAGAAGGACGGGGGCGCCGGGTACTCGGGGCGCGGCGTGTTGCCAGCCTCGATGTGGTCGAGGACGGCTTCGAGGGTGCGGCCGGGCACGCCCCACCATTCGCGCCGTAGTCGGCGTTGAGGCGGCCGCGGGGCACGACGCTGTTTGCGGAGGTGACCTGGTCGGCGTGGCGGCGGTCGAAGTACATCGTCCACAGCGTGTGGCTGTTGGCAGCGTACCTCGGCTTGTTTCGATGTGCCTCCGACAGCGACGAAAGGATGCATGCTATCTCGGCGCGCCGTTTAGCGCCGGTGGGCACCGGGAGCACCGAGACGCCACCGGCGCTCAGTCTCCACGAGCCCGGCACTCGCATGTCTGGGGGCGCCGGGTAGTCGGCCTCGTAGAGGAGGCGCGCCTCGTCCTCGCGCAGATGGCGTCGGCCAAAGCCGTTCGCCGCCGCGGCGTCGCCTGGGTAACGTTCGACCATTGGTCGTCAGCGCGGGAAGAGTGGGAGAGAGGGGCTTCGGTGGCGAGAGGTGGCGAGAACGGCGTGGCATTCACCGGTGGCGGGAGGTCGGCTTTTATAGCCTAAGTTGGGCGGTGAGAAGCTGCCCGCCGGGTGCCGCGTGGCGGGAGCGGGCAGGACGCGCGTCGCGGCGCCTTCACTGCGCCGCCCATGAGGCATCAATGGAAGGCTGACTGGCGCGGCAGCCTTGGCATTGATTCCCCCAGAAACCGAGGCGATGAGGACGACGAAGGCGGCGAGTCGCTGACTCGGCAGGCTCATTCCCGTTCGCGCCAAAATATGTTTCCCCGACGCCCCCAGGCGCCTCCCAGCGCGTCGGGTTCAGCCTGGATCCACCGACGTCAAAATGGCCCAAGCCGGCGAAAATTGAGATTTTGGGTGCGCGGCTGGGCCAAATTTTCGGCGCCGGCGACAAAAAAGGGGGCCTAGGGGGCGTGGATGCTCTAACAAAGACGGGATTATTGATGCCGTGATGTGTCATCTTGGCATCGAGGGGCATGTGGGGGGAATCAATTTGCAGAGAGCAACAGGCGGTTAGGTTCTGCTTTTCGTCCATCTTTTGCTGCGGAATATTTGTCTTTTGCCTTTTAGATAGAAGATGGAAGAGGATAATGCATGCGGCATGGTTGATTGGCGGTGTCCATTGACAATGCATACGGAAGAAGACGGGAGGGCATGGATGGATGGAAAAGGGGTTGACAGGATGGAATCAATTCGATTGGGATGCGCATTTATGCGAGGGGTTATTATCAAAATTTTGTTCTAACACTTTGATAAAGCTTATAAGAAATTGATCGCCGTCGAGGTTTTAATTCGTCCCGATCCTGAAACGTAAGACGGTGAAGAGACAAGAGGCAAATGCTCCGGCCAACATTTGTCCAAAACATGACACCACCATGGGCCGGCCAAACCTGTCGCTCGCCCACAACGCTCGTTGCATGATTAGGCACGGCACTGCGTGAACGATGGATACATCACGGCCGAGAGGTCATGTCTGATTCCGCTGTGGAATGTGGCCGGTTACAAAAACTTTTACCTAACTAATTTTTTTTTTGGCGAACACATTCCAAAAACTTTTACTTGACTATAGTAAGCCTTTGGAGTTACATTCCAGTTTGTCTCAACAAACAAGATGGAGAGATTCCAGGATATATAAACGCTCTAAAAAAAGACCACCACAGCATCAAACGTAGCCTATGACGAAAGAGAGAAGTGGAACCAACATCACCCATCATCTAACTGTATTTTGTGTAGACATTGCAAGTAAAAATGATGATTCCATTTGTTCCAAACTTATACTAGGAAGCTAAACCACACCGGGCAGAAAATCAAATCACAGAAAATGATCAAGCCTAACATCGCATCATACAGGCAAGAAATGTTCACATGTGCATGATTCAGATGAATATGTCAACGCGTAATCTGAAATACCAATGCCCCCAGCCCAGTTTAATCTCAAGCATTGCCACAGAAGAAAAAGGGTCAGCTTCTACTCAAACACAACTTACTGCTACGCAAAAGCACAAGGGCAAGAATTCCAGGGTAACAAGTAACAGCACAGGATGCCACTTAGCATTTCAAAAGTCTGGAGGCCTGCAAGTGAAATTCCCGAGAAAATGCATTACGAACATATATAAGAACATAGGTCAAACAGGCGAGATGATTCCGCATCAACACGTACTTAGATTGACATCTTCTAACAGAACAGAAACATTCTTCGACATAGCTCGCAGAGGAAGCAGGTTACGCTGTAGGGACTTGCACTGCACGAGCTTCCAAAGCAGGGAACAATAAAGCTCAGCGCCCCCGGCCCCGACCACGCCCACGGCCGCGTCCGCGACCCCGACCCATAGGCTTCCCTGGAACAAAAGGTAGGCTGGTCAGTTTACAGTTCTTGTGGAAACTGACCTTAGAACAGCTGTGGTAAAACTGTGTACCTGTAGTTGGCTTCTTAGACTTGACCCTGGGGGTATCCTCAACCAGCAACGTTTCCAGGTTTAAGCTATCAGGGAGGATGTAGTACCGAATGTTGTTTCCTCTCACACTGATGTGATCAAGGGTTACAGGATTCTTCCCTTTCATTGTGAGCTTTACGGTCTTCAGATGAGTATTCATGCTTATGTCAACACCTACAAAATATACATCAGTCAGAGGATCTGCAGTACAGTAATCATGATACCAATCAGTTGGTAAATAGTTGCAGCAACGCAATGCTATCGGGGTTGCAAAACTGAAGAGCCTGACAGGGTCCCAGCAATGATTTCCCGAGTTAGAAAATGGGCAAACCAAGTTTCTAAACTGAAGAGCCAGACAGGATCCAAATGATGATTTCCCAAATTATACATGACTGAAGGGTAAAGCTGGGCAAACCGAGTTTCTAAACTGCAACAAGAAGTTACATAATACGAATCTTCCAGGATGCATTTTTTCTTCTTCTAATAAGCAGTGGAAACTTATGGAATCTACCCAACAAAATGCAATTTGGCAAACATTATAAACCCTAAGGCCAGAACACCTCAAGTAACAAACCGAATGTAGAAATATGAAAACCATTATTCAATCTTCAAGTCATATTTGCTACAGTACTCTTCTTAAAACAAAACAAATGGTTCTCCAGTTGCAATTAAATTTCATAAAACGTCCTTATATTGCTTGTTGCACCTTTCAGCAAGTGTGTTCTCTTCTAGGTTTGATAGTATAAAAAATCATCAGGGAGCAACAAGAAGAAAGTTTGTGAGGGGACATACAGAGGCACATCCGAATGCATTCTCATTCTCAGCAACTAATGTACATTACTCCACTATATCATAAGGAGATGCCATCACTATATTCCTTGGAATAATATATGCTCCCTCCGTTCCTATATAAGTCCTTTTAGTGATTTCAATACGGATGTATATAGACGCACTTTAGAGTGTAGATTCACTCATTTTTCTCCGTATGTAGTCCATATTGGAATCTCTAAAAAGACTTATATTTAGGAACGGAGGGAGTAGATTACTGAAGATATCATTATACAAAATACATCATGTATTTAACATCAGCAGTGAACAGGCACCGGACAAATAAGAGAAGATCGGCTGAATGTAAACATACTCCACACAGTTCATATGAATCAAATTGCTAATTAACCAAGCTGAACAGACACTGCAGAGAAACATCACAAAACTAATGGAGCTAATCATCTTCATCTCAGTGCCACACTGTAATAATTACATAATCCTTCAACTACGAAAGGAAATCACTAACTGGCCATAGAAGATATGTTCACTTCTACGAGCTCTAAACCTAACAATCAGACAAGCACATGCCACTAGATCTCCAAAATACCGAGCAAGGGGACAAAGCTAACGGATCCTAGACACGAACGCGCTGAAAGAACCCCTAAATTTCAGGATTTCACACTCGGGAGGAGTGAGGTCGAAGCATACCGGTGATGGTGCCGTGGACGGTAGTGCCGTTCTTGAGCTCGATGGTGACCGTCTCGTTGTTCAGCTTCATCAAGAACCTGCGGCCAAACAGAAACGCCCAAATCCGCAACAAATTCGCGGACGATTACACCAACCAGATCAGCGAGG